CGGGGATCTTTGTCTTTGTTGTTGTGTGGTTGTTATTCTTACGTTTGTTACTAAACAGAAACCCGCACAGCACATGCAAGTTTCTGTAAACGATCAACATCAGCTCTCTTTGTTCACACGATTCACTCCTTTAATCTTCACTAATGTTCGGTTACACTGCAGACTAACCTGACGACGATGACTGTGGATTTCAATAACGCAATAGATTTATAAACTGAACGCTGCTCGTGCCAAGCATCATCTCCATCCCTACAGTGCTGTCTCAGTTTTGTTGCCAGAAAAAAGGGGAAAAACCCTATTAGTATATTTTGGTACTGGCAAAGAAGATCCCATGATGTAACTGCTCACCCCGAGCTCTCATTACTCTGGTATTGCGTTGTCTTTGAACTGTGCGATTTTGGCGTCATCTGGTCGAACACCATATGAGACTAGGCTCCAAAGAAAGCTGTCTCTGGTGTGGACCAATCAGTTTCAAAGACAATGCATAAATTATCAGAGTATTGTTTTTTGTTTGCATTTGACTGCAGGTATTGTGGTTAATGTAAGCATGATTCCTTGCAAAAGGTATCAGTTTTGTTGCCAAAAAAAGGGGAAAAACCCTATTAGTATATTTTGGTACTGGCATAGGAGATCCCATGATGAAGTGCTGTCTCAGTTTATGAAACGCGCCCCTGGGAACGCCCTTCAGCTGGTTATTTCCCAGAGACAGATAAGTGAGCTGGGTCAGTTTGTCAAACACCCCAGTGGGAAGAAACGCGAGTTCCTCACTGGGCAGCAACCTCAGACAAGCTCACTGCTGTTTCGGAAAGAATTTTGCAGAAGGAATGTAAATACAACTCCAAAGAACATTGGTTACATTTTTTTCACAGCATCAAGCTTGTGAGCGAATTGGTGTTGTTCAAAAAAATATAAAATGAATAATTCAAAGTCCTTTGTCTAGCCACTGCTTGATATGGCTGCTAGTTTGGTCGAACATGTACATTGTTTATTGTTAAATTTGAATCTCAGTTCCTATGATTACTGTTGTTACATGTTTTTTAATAGCTTTATTTTGGTGATTCGAAAACATGGTTAAGCCATGTTTCTTGCGGAAGTGCGGAGTTGGCCTGATAACTTTAATCTAAATTGTCTTATGGTTGTTATTGTTTGACTTGCATCATACTGGGATTTTTTGCACACAGCGTTGTAATACAGTGTTTTTTACAGGTAGGAACAATGTTCCACACTGCCCACCAGGGATTTTTTGTCTGTCTGACTGTCTGTCGTGCATAAATATATATATAATATAGACAGCTCTTTGATTGGTGGAGACCTACTTCCGGGTACGGAGAGGGGAGGTGCCTAAGGGAGGAGGGTCAGGGGAGGGGCCTAAGGAAGGGGGGGTCAGGGGAGGAGCCTAAGGGAAGAGGGGTTAGAGGAGGGGCCTAAGGATATGGGGGGGTGGTCAGGGGAAGGGCCTAAGGGAGGGGGGGGGGTCAGGGGAGGGGCCTAAGGGAGGGAGGGTCAGTGGAGGGTCCTGAGGGAGTGAGGGTCAGGGGAGGGGCCTAAGGGAGGGGGGGTAAGGGGAGGGGCCTAAGCAAGGGGGAGGGGCCGATTGTTAAGGGGGCTGGCTACCTGGCTGGCTGCCTGGCTACATCAAGTCAAGTTATCTTTTATACAGGTAGGAACAACAGGTTCCACACTGCCCACCAGGGATTATTTGTCTGTCTGTCCTGCATATTTGTCTGTCGTGCACGAATGCGCTGTCCAACCAAGTTCCTACCTGCCCACTCCGAAGGAACGTGTTAAGGGCACCACCCTCCCCCACCCAGCCCCTCCCCACCCTCCCCACTCAGTCTCTCCCCACCTTCCCCTCCCCACCAAACCCCACCCTCCCCACCCAGCTCCTCCCTGCACGACGGACGGACAAAATTATTCCCTGTGGGCTGGTGTATTCAGGAGGTTACTACCAGTAAAAGCTTTCTAAATCATCATCAGTGTCATCATTCATCATCAGCACGAGCATTTAGATCGTCAGCAGCAGCTGATTCCATGCTCAACAGTCATGCTTTGTGTCAGAGACGCTCTTCAGCTGGTTTCCGTGCAGAGCCAACAGCTTCAGCTTGGTGAGTTTGTCAATGCCAGTGGGCAGCTGTGTGAATTTGTTGCAGCACAAATCCAGAACATCTATATTCATGAGGCGGTTAAACAGTCCCTCGGGTAGAACCGTCAGTTGGTTGCTGTAGAGCTTAAGTTCCTTCAGATTCGTCAGTTTGTCGAACATTTCGGCGGGTATGGACGACAGTCGGTTCCGATACAAATACAGCTGTTGCAGATTGACCAGTCGGTCAAACACCCCCTCGGGTAGAGCTGTCAGCTGGTTGGTATAAAGGCCGAGATAAGTCAGTTGCGTTAAACTGTCAAACACCCCAGCGGGGAGAGCTGTGAGTTCATCACTGAGCAAGAATTTCAGGTCCGCAGCCTCTGCCTCTTGCTGTAGAGCAGCCTCTACAAGGAAGCGTCGCTCTTCACACGACAGTGGAGTTCAACACGGGTCGCTAGGTCGCGTTAGCGGCGTCGTGTTCACCTCACATCTCGACAGTTCGCTCCATGCCGTGCCCACTGTCTGTGCGGTGCAGTACAGCGACCCGCACGGTGTTCAGCGCTCGCCTCGCATTCCCTCTGGAACATTTTTACTCGATCAGTGGAATTAATTCCGTCATTCGCCTGTCTATGGGAGGCCTCATCGAGTCCCGAGACTCAGGAGGATGCTGCTACAGCAGAAAGTGTGGCCAATTCCTGTGTGAGGAGGGTGTCATGTTGTTGGTGCTGTTTGTACAATAGTTTCGTGTGGTTGTTGTTGTTGTTGTACTGTGGTGTTGTTGTGTAGATTTGTTTCGTCATTGTATTTTTTTGTATTGCGTTGATCTGTGGTGCTTGTTGTTGTGTGGTTATTATTATTTTGTTTTTTGCAGCACTTACCCCAACATTATGTTAAGGCTATACGGGGATCTTTGTCTTTGTTGTTGTGTGGTTGTTATTCTTACGTTTGTTACTAAACAGAAACCCGCACAGCACATGCAAGTTTCTGTAAACGATCAACATCAGCTCTCATTGTTCACACGATTCACTCCTTTAATCTTCACTAATGTTCGGTTACACTGCAGACTAACCTGACGACGATGACTGTGGATTTCAATAACGCAGTAGATTTATAAACTGAACGCTGCTCGTGCCAAGCATCATCTCCATCCCTACAGTGCTGTCTCAGTTTTGTTGCCAGAAAAAAGGGGAAAAACCCTATTAGTATATTTTTGTACTGGCAAAGGAGATCCCATGATGTAGCTGCTCACCCCGAGCTCTCATTACTCTGGTATTGCGTTGTCTTTGAACTGTGCGCCTTTTGGCGTCATCTGGTCGAACACCATTTGAGACTAGGCTCCAAAGAAAGCTGTCTCTGGTGTGGACCAATCAGTTTCAAATACAATGCATAAATTATCCGATTATTGTTTTTTGTTTGCATTTGACTGCAGGTATTGTGGTTAATGTAAGCATGATTCCTTGCAAAAGGTATCAGTTTTGTTGCCAAAAAAAGGGGAAAACCCCTATTAGTATATTTTGGTACTGGCATAGGAGATCCCATGATGAAGTGCTGTCTCAGTTTATGAAACGCGCCCCTGGGAACGCCCTTCAGCTGGTTATTTCCCAGAGACAGATAAGTGAGCTGGGTCAGTTTGTCAAACACCCCAGTGGGAAGAAACGCGAGTTCCTCACTGGGCAGCAACCTCAGACAAGCTCACTGCTGTTTCGGAAAGAATTTTGCAGAAGGAATGTGAATACAACTCCAAAGAACATTGGTTAAATTTTTTTCACAGCATCAAGCTTGTGAGCGAATTGGTGTTGTTCAAAAAAATATCAAATTAATAATTCAAAGTCCTTTGTCTAGCCACTGCTCGATATGGCTGCTAGTTTGGTCGAACATGTATATTGTTTATTGTTAAATTTGAATCTCAGTTCCTATGATTACTGTTGTTACATGTGTTTTAATAGCTTTATTTTGGTGATTCGAAAACATATGGTTAAGCCATGTTTCTTGCGGAAGTGCGGAGATGGCCTGATAACTTTAATCTAAATTGTCTTATGGTTGTTATTGTTTGACTTGCATCATACTGGGATTTTTTGCACACAGCGTTGTAATACGGTGTTTTTTACAGGTAGGAACAATGTTCCACACTGCCCACCAGGGATGTTTTGTCTGTCTGACTGTCTGTCGTGCATAAATATATATATAATATAAACAGCTCTTTGATTGGTGGAGACCTACTGCCGGGTACGGAGAGGGGAGGTGCCTAAGGGAGGAGGGTCAGGAGAGGTGCCTAAGGGAGGAGGGTCAGGGGAGGGTTCTAAGGAAGGGGGGTTAGAGGAGGGGCCTAAGGATATGGGGGGGGGGGTGGTCAGGGGAAGGGCCTAAGGGAAGGGGGGTGGTCAGGGGAAGGGCCTAAGGGAAGGAGGGTCAGCGGAGGGGCCTGAGGGAGTGGGGGTCAGGGGAGGGGCCTAAGGGAGGGGGGTAAGGGGAAGGGCCTAAAGAAAGGGGGAGGGGCCGATAGTTAAGGGGGCTGGCTACCTGGCTGGCTGCCTGGCTACCTCAAGTCAAGTTATCTTTTGTACAGGTAAGACCAACAGGTTCCACACTGCCCACCAGGGATTATTTGTCTGTCTGTCCTGCATATTTGTCTGTCGTGCACGAATGCGCTGTCCAACCAAGTTCCTACCTGCCCACTCCGAAGGAACGTGTTAAAGGCACCACCCTCCCCCACCCAGCCCTTCCCCACCCTCCCCACTCAGTCCCTCCCCACCCTCCCCACCCAGCTCCTCCCTGCATGACGGACGGACTAAATAATTCCCTGTGGGCTGGTGTAATCAGGAGGTTACTACCTGGAAAAGCTTTCTAAATCATCATCAGTGTCATCATTCATCATCAGCACGAGCATTTAGATCGTCAGCAGCAGCTGATTCCATGCTCAACAGTCATGCTTTGTGCCAGGGATGCTCTTCAGCTGGTTTCCGTGCAGAGCCAACAGCTTCAGCTTGGTGAGTTTGTCAATGCCAGTGGGCAGCTGTGTGAATTTGTTGCAGCACAAATCCAGAACATCTATATTCATGAGGCGGTTAAACAGTCCCTCGGGTAGAACCGTCAATTGGTTGCTGTAGAGCTTAAGTTCCTTCAGATTCGTCAGTTTGTCAAACATATCGGCGGGTATGGACGACAGTCGGTTCCGATACAAATACAGCTGTTGCAGATTGACCAGTCGGTCAAACACCCGCTCGGGTAGAGCTGTCAGCTGGTTGGTATGAAGGTTGAGATAAGTCAGTTGCGTTAAACTGTCAAACACCCCAGCGGGGAGAGCTGTGAGTTCATCACTGAGCAATAATTTCAGATCCGCAGCCTCTGCCTCTTGCTGTAGAGCAGCCTCTACAAGGAAGCGTCGCTCTTCACACGGCAGTGGAGTTCAACACGGGTCGCTAGGTCGCATTAGCGGCGTCGTGTTCACCTCACATCTCGACAGTTTGCTCCATGCCGTGCCCACTGTCTGTGCGGTGCAGTACAGCGACCCGCACGGTGTTCAGCGCTCGCCTCGCATTCCCTCTGGAACAATTTTTACTCGATCAGTGGAATTAATTCCGTCATTCGCCTGTCTATGGGAGGCCTCATCGAGTCCCGAGACTCAGGAGGATGCTGCTACAGCAGAAAGTGTGGCCAATTCCTGTGTGAGGAGGGTGTCATGTTGTTGGTGCTATTTGTACAATAGTTTCGTGTGGTTGTTGTTGTTGTTGTACTGTGGTGTTGTTGTGTAGATTTGTTTCGTCATTGTATTTTTTTGTATTGCGTTGATCTGTGGTGCTTGTTGTTGTGTGGTTATTATTATTTTGTTTTTTGCAGCACTTACCCCAACATTATGTAAAGGCTATACGGGTATCTTTGTCTTTGTTGTTGTGTGGTTGTTATTCTTGCGTTTGTTGCTAAACAGAAATCCGCACAGCATGCACGAGTTTATGTAAACGATGAATATCAGCTCTCATTATTCACACGATTGACTCATTTAATCTTCACTGATGTTCAGTGACACTGCATAATAACTTATAGCGCGAGAGGGCATCACGACGACGCTGTTGGTGATGGTGACTGTGTATGTCAACAACGCGGGAGCTTTACACACTTCATTCTAACTCATGACGAGCGTTGTCTCTCTTCCGGGGCCCAGTGACAAAGCAGAGACCGTTCCTGGCAGCGCTGGCTCCGTTAGTCTAACGCTTCCCTGGGAACGCTCTTCAGCTGATTGATGTGCAGACCCAGATAAGTGAGCTGGGTCAGTTTGTCAAACAGCCCAACGGGTAGAGCCGAAAGCTGGTTTCTCTCCAGATACAGATGCTGCAGATTCACCAGGCGATCAGAAATCATCATGACCCTTCACAGAACACTGGCGCAATTACGTTGTCATTATAAGCGTGTCAAACCATTCCGTGCCCTGCATGTAAGTGACCGCTGGATGTAAATTTTACGTGTATAGAATTCACGGTGCCTCTTTCCGTGTGCGTTAACGCAAGCGTCTCCGTTCAAACACAAAGTGAATAGTTACACGCTGCACGCGTCTGTATACAGGGCCGAAAATGACATGAGAATCCACAAACAATTCTATACATTCATCAATAGCACTGCCTTAAAGGGCAAAACATCTATGAAACGTTACAGGAACGTGCATTTACGAGACATGAAGAAGGGCCATCGCCTGAAATTGTCACCTTTTATATATTTCCCATTTTGGCAGCCTGTGTGTCTGTGTTGAGTTTGTATTGTTATCTGTGCTCATGTACCGAGGCTAGGGCAGTATCAACAAATAATTTGTAAAGATCCAGAAGGCGTCGTGGAGTCTACTAAGGCTGTGACTTCAGGAACACAATCAGACCGAATGAATACAGCACCTGCCCTGGCTGGTGAGTCTACGGTAGCTATTAATGGGTGATAACAAATTAACGGCGTGGCCCGCAGGCGCAGGGAAGTTGCCGACACTGACTCACTTCGATCTGGACCTAAACTAGTTTAAGAGCCTTGCCGTTAGATTGGCTTGCTCTTTCCATCGGTGTGCTGTATACAGGCGGCTCGAGCTGAACTCGGTCAAAGCGCTCAGTGCAGGCGACGCTCAACTCCCCGGGTAAGTTGTCAATCTCTCCAGCGAGCAGATACAGATTAACAGATTTAAGTGCAGCCCTGAAATTGCCTGGCTCAGCCTCAAATAAGTACCTGGTCAATCTTGATTTGAAGCTTTCGTGACTGCAGGAATCCATACTCTGTGGTTCTTTCGGTAAAGTCACGTAGGTATAAAATAAAATAATAAAATAAATCACGACGTTTCGGGCGCAACACATGCGTCCGTCATCAGGTGGAAAAGCATGGTCTGCTGCTGAGGCAGACTGTTTTAAACCTTTTGAAATGGGTGTAGCCCAAGGGTCATAAAGAAGTGGCCGGGGCTAGTGACGTTAATGTGAGAAATTAGCATTTAACTGTAAGATAGGAAAGCGGCCTCCGAGACGAGGACACGGAAGTGACTATGTTGGGAGAGCTGGCCGGACGGCTCGTAGCGCATACTGGAGAGCCGCGTGATTTGAGCATACCTTAAACTTCCTTCCATAGAGGTAGGGACAGTACTGCTGGACGAAGTGAACGATAGCCAGCAACTCACGGTGCATCACGCAGTATCGCTGCTCCACATAGGACAGTACCCTACTCCCATACGCAACCAAATGCTCCAGACCGTTTACAACCTGGGATAACACGGCGCCCATGCAAGTGTTACTGGTGTCGGTATCAAGGATGAATGGCAAAGAAAAATCGGGGTACCGAAGGGGAGGTACTTTGACTAGTCCGTCTCGCAGCGAGGCAAACGCAGCCTGCTTCTCCTCCCCCCATCGAAATTTATGTCCCTTTGCCGTGAGGACATGGATAGGTTTTGCGATTGTGGCTAACCCGGGAACAATACGTCGATAATAAGAGGCGAACCCAATAAAACTACGAACTTCACCCACCGACTTGGGGGTTGGCCATCTGCGCACACATCCAGTTTTCTCAGGATCTGTCGATATTCCTAAATCATTGACAATGTTCCCTCGATACTAGACTGTCCTTTGCAGCAAATTACATCTCTGCGGCTTAAATTTGAGTTTAGTAGTCCACATTTTAAGAAAAACCACCCGCAACCTCCGCAGATGTTCCTCGAACATACGTCCGAAAATAATGACGTCATCGAGGTAAATTAGACATGCGTGCCATTGGAGCCCTGCCAACACCAACTCCATTGACCTCTGGAATATGGCAGGGGCCGAGTGAAGTCTCATTGGGAGCCGGTTAAACTCGAACAACCTTTGGGGTGTGCGGAACGCAGTCTTCGGTCTAATGCTGTCGTCCAAGGGCAACTGCCAGAATCCCGACAGCAAATCAAGGGTGGAGAAGAAATACGCCACCGACAAAGCGTCTAACGAGTCATCCATCCGTGGGAGCGGGTACGCATCAGCCACGGAGACTTTGTTGAGTTTGCGGAAGTCGACGCAAAACCTCAGACTCCCGTCCTGCTTTTTAACAAGTACAATGGGTGCCCCCCATGGAATGTTTGACGGGGAAATGATGTCAGCGTCAATCCATGACCCGTCACATTCCTCAACCTGCCGCGGAGTCATTTCAACTCCTACAGTCCCGTCGTTTTCCCCCTCACGATACGCGACCAACACGTGAGCCAAAACAGTACCCTCTTGTATGACAGACGTTACCAAACCAACGTTCAAAACCTGGATAAATGGTTTATGATCGTTTGCCACCAAAGTCTGAGCATACAAATACAGTTTTACCACGAGCAGCCTTGTTGGAGGGGACCAACAACATCCCTTCTGTAGTCGTTTCCCGGTCGAGTTGTTTTTTCAGGAGCAAGGGAACGAACATCTGTGCACCGGGGGGAATTTTGACCGTTTGGTTGTTCAGCGCTAGGACCGATGCATTAGCCATGCGGAATTGAGTCGACGGTGATAAAAATGCCATTCGGCGGCCCGATGGCAACTCAATGCAGCCTTGATCCACAAGCATAGTTAGCGGCATATCACCTAGAAAATCGGTCCCAAACAGGCAGGGTCGGGCTAGGGGTGTTGAAACAAGTACAGGACCCGTTAACCAAATGTCACCTATGCAGACTGTAGCCGATATCTGGCCAACAATCCCTAAGGACTGTCCATTCGCGGCAAAACAGGGGATGTCAATGGTCCGAATGGTGCGCGATTTTAGCGGCAAATAATAAAATAATTTCTGAAATGATGGTCATGGATGCACCAGTATCTACAAGCACCCACACCTCCCCACCCTCTACGTTTCAGATAACAGCGGACGATCTTGCCGCCGCGGCGATAACATGGCGGCCCAAGGCCGACAATTGAGCAGAACGCCGCGGCCAACCATCGCCGGCAACAACCCGACCGACACGTGACGCACCCTGACAAAAACGCATGACCCGCGACTCCGAACCCGATGTGTGAGGTGACTGCGAGGGCTGTGTGAGTGGTGCGCCGAGACTCGCCTGAGGACCCAGCGGAGCGAAGGACGGTCGAGCGTAGAGGATGGCGGCGACGTGACACGTATTTCCATTAAAGTAATTTGAGATCTCTTTAGCTCACAGATGGCTTTGCAAGTAAATTACATTAATTATAACGAGCAGGTCTCGATGGAGGTAACCGGAATCACACTTCAACTGCCAGGTTTCATGTGAAGCGAGTCAACGTTGTTTTAAACAAGACGTGTCTATGATAGCGAATGGAGGTTTTGTCAACTCCCGTGTCTGCGTGAAAGTGAATGGAAATGGGTCCGGTTAATAACTTCATGTGAATTGATGTCGCTCTCTCTTACGAATATCCATGAGAGTGGTGAGAGGTCGCTTTAAGTAAATAGCATTGAGGTCTCTAGACGTGAATGGAGGCCACTTTGAACTAAGAGGTCAATATCATCAGCACACGTTATTAGTACCCGCTGGGGTGTTTAACAGTCTCACCCAGCTGACATCTCTGGATCTAAATAGAAATCAGCTGCAGGCTCTTCCCGTTGGGGTGTTTGACCACCTCGGGAGTCTGCAACGGTTTGATTTGAGTAACAATCAACTGAAGAGCGTTCCCAGGGGCGCGACTGGTGATGGCTACACAGCTTACAGTCCCACAGAGATTGTGGTACATCGAGGTTAGACTCGTTGCCTCACTGGCATTCTCAGCGCATCCTCCGTATGAGTTTCCGAATGAGAGACAACGCGCCAAAAGCTGTAATTTGAACGGCAATTGTTTTCATTCCAGAGGCTTCTCCAATACCTATGAAGAGACCAAAACAATGCAACTAAAGAGGCAAGAAGAGAAGGCTGGAGTGCTTTGGTGAAGCTGAACTTCACAATAAAAATAACATCATAATGTGTGTACAGAAGAGTGATGTTGATCAATGGTAACCACCTGGCGTTGCAGATTTGTTCAGAAGCACGGTGATTATGACGCATAATATCGGAAAATAACTGAGAAGTGCACAACGACGAACTGGGAGTTGCATGCTTGGCATTACATTGAGAGATAGAGAGAGGAACACGTGTATCAGAGAATAAACTCTCGCAAATTACATCAAACGGATAGTTAAAGTAAGCAGGCTTGGCCAGGATACGGCGTGAGAAGGGGTGATGGAATAATCCACGATGGTCAATGCCCATTGACCATGGTCTATAACAATAGCGGAGTAGCAGGCAAGGGAGGGAACGCGCCCGGAAGGACATTCACCATGGAGATGGAGTATGACAGCAGATCGTGTGCAGGTGCGAGGTGGATTAATACATCGCATGGGCTTGATTACGGCTTGCAGTGGATTGGTAATACCTCTTTTGATTACATGTCTACGTATTGATAAATATGCATTGTATAATAAGTAGGTGAGTACCTATGGTTAATGGTTTCTGCGCAGTGAAGAACTCGCGTCTTTCCCCGAAGGGTGTTTGACAAACTGACCCAGCTCACTCATCTGGCTCTGGACACCAACCACCTGAAGAGCGTTCCCAGCGGCGCGTTTTACCAACGGAGCCAGCATTGCCAGGAACGGTCTCTGCTTTGTCGCTGCGCACCGGGATAGAGACGACGCTCGGCACGAGTAGCGTTCAGTTTGTAAAGCTACCGCGTTATTGACATTCACAGTCATCGTCATCATCGTCATGATGCCTTCTTGTGCTACGAGTTATCCCGCAGTGTCACTGAGCAGTGAGGTCTGCCTTCGTGAGTGAATGATTCGAGGTGATATTGAGCGTTTATAGAAACTCATGCGAGCTTTACGGGCTTGGTTCGTGCAGCAACAACAACAGAACAACGCAACAAACTCACCACAACATTCAAACAACGCAACACAACAAAAACGACATGACAAAGCAACCACACAACACAGCAGAACAAGAGCAACCACGCAAAGCAACAACTACCCAAACAGGACCAACAACGCAAAACATTACTCAAACAGGACTTGGCCACGCATCCCATTGTAGTAGCATCCTACTGAAGGCAGAGCCTCGGGACTCCCATGGACAGGCGAATTTCGGAAATAATTCCACTGATCGAAACACCCCAGCGGGGAGAGCTGTGAGTTGATCGCAGATCAGCAGCCATCCGCCTCTTGCTGTAGAGCAGCCTCTACAAGAGAGCGTCACTCTTTACACGGCAATGGAGTTCAACACGGGTCCCTAGCTCGCGTTAGCGGCGTCGTGTTCACCTCACATCTCGGCACCTCGCTCCATGCCGTGCCCGCTGTCTGTGCGGTGCAGTACAACGACCCTCACGGTGTTCAGAGCTCGCCTCGCATTCCCTCTGGAACATTTTTACTCGATCAGTAGTGTAGCGATTAGCGCGCTGCCCTACGAACCGGTTCTGGGCCTCCCCTAGGTCGACTCAGCCTCAAATGAGTACCTGGTATGATGTGTAAATACCGTCGCTAGGGAGACAAAGGAGGCCGGGCTTTGTGTTTGCCACCCACCCCATCGTGTGCCGTGCCGGCCTTCATAGGTGCTCGCTAACAGCACTTGCCGCAACAGTCTGTTAAGGTTATACGGGAATCTTTGTCTTTGTTGTCGTGTGGTTGTTATTTTTTTGTTTGTTGCCGCACTAACATAAACCCGCACAGCACATGCTAGTTTCTGTAAACGATAAATACCAGCTCTAATTATTTTCAACATTCACTCATTTAATTTCACGAATGTTCAGCTACACTGCAGACTAACCTGAAGCACTAGAGGACACCATAACGACGGTGATGATGATGATGACTGTGGATTTCAATAACGCGGTAGCTTTATCAACTGAACGCTACTCGTGCTGAGCGTCATCTCTATCCCTATTCCCAGCAACAAAGCAGAGTCCGTGACTGGCAGTGTTGGCTCCGTTTGTTAAACGCGCTCCTGGGAACGCCCTTCAGCTGGTTGTTGTGCAGATACAGATTAGTGAGCTGGGTCAGTTTGTCAAACACCCCAGTGGGGAGAGACGCGAGTTCCTCACTGCGCAGCAACCTCAGACATTCGGTCTCTGCTGTTTCGGAAGACTCTAGCAGAGTGAATGTAAAAACGACTCCAAAGAGCATTGTCTACCTTTATTTCACACCATCAAGCTTGTGAGCAATTGGTGATGTTCTAAAAATTATCAAATTAATAATTCAAAGTCCTTCGTATATCCAGTGGCGGAGCCAGTGGGTGGGGTGGCACGTGCCCCCCTCCCCCCACCCAATGATCCGATAGAAATCTCTAATTTCGATCGGATCATTGTGGTTTATTAGTAATAAATCGGCATTTTGCGACCCCCACTGCCACTGTGTAGCATATTATTACGTGTCTGAGTCCATAATTGCCAATAAGTAACGGAAAAGCAGTTATAAGTGACGCAGAATTGTGCGCAGTTGCGTGTATACAGTACACGAATTCCCTGAAGGCATTCACCTTCAGCGAGCGCGATGCTGATCACACGCGGTTCTAATTCGACTTCCAGGCCATGCGCCATCGCTGCACACGCGTCGAATAAAAAGCAAGGGACAAGTCCTTAGTTACTAACAAACTCCTCTATCATTTTTCATTGCTGGAGGAGTTGCCCCCCTACCTGAAAATCCTGGCTCCGCCTCTGCGTCTATCCACTGCTCGATAAAGTGACCATATTTCACCACGCTGGTGGGAGGGGGGCGGGGTGAGTGTCACCCCACACCAATATTAAACAACTAAGAGTGGACTCATTTTATCGCCTTAGTTGAATAGACTAAGAACATTGTTCAATGAAATACTGTACACAGGACTGGAAATTAACTGAAAATTCACAAACTCTAGACATTCGTCAAAGCGCACTTGCCTTGAAGGGAAAATAAAATATGAAATGTTGCGGGCACGTGTATTTACGAGACGTGAAGAAGGGGAGCGTGTGTGTGAGTTTTTTTTTGTTATCTGTGCTTGTGTACCACTGCTTGCCAAGGCGGTATCAACAAGCAATTTGTAAAGTTACACGAGGCATCGTCGAGTCGACTTAGGCTGTGACTTCAGGAACACATTCAGACCCAATGAATACAGCACCCGACGTGGCTGGTGAGTCTACGGGAGATTTTCCTGGGTGATAATACATTTACGGAGTTGCCCGCAAGCGCAGGGAAGTTGCCGACACTGACTCATGTCGGCCTGGACCTAAACCAGTTGAAGAGATTGGTTTGTTTGCTCTTTCATCGCGTGCTGTAGACACGAGGCTCGATCCGAACTCGGGCAAAGCGCTCAGCGCTGGCGGCGCTCAATGCCCCGCGTCAGTTGTCAATCTCTCCAGCGAGGAGTAACAGAATAAGGTGCAGCGATGCAATTGCATGGCTCAGCCTGAAATAAGTACCTGGTGTGGTGTGTAAACATCGCCACTCGGGATACAAATGCGGGCGAGCGTCGTGCTATCTGACCACCCCCTCGTCTACCGTGCTGGTCTTCATAGGTGCTCGCTCACATCACTTGCCCCAAAAGGTTGATGAGGCTATGTGGGGGATCTTTGTTTTGATGTAATTATTCGTAACAAATCACTATCGCAGTGGCAATGGCAGGAGCCTCAGTGTCTCGTGTCTCCACCAGTGCCGTCAGACTGTCAAACACGCCGGGCTCGAGCTTCGTGATCTGATTTGTGAACAAAAGCAGCTCTCGCGTTGAAGTGGGGATTCCCGCAGGCACAGACGCGAGGCTTCTGCTCTGGCATTCCACAGATGCCCCTGGGCACGAACACTGCGAGGGACAGGCAACAGTTTAGAGGCGGCTCACAACGGCCTCCCCTTGCACGCGAGCGGCGTCGCGTGTGGTCCAACATTTATACTAGCTGCCTCTTACTGAAGATTTCCCTGCAAAACATTCTTCATAAAACATTTGTAGTGCTTAGTACATTTAGAAATCACTTGTATAAATGTATTGTTTCGGAGTTGTGTTGTTATATCTATTTGCTTCTTAATTTTAATTAATGTAATTGGTTTGGATCATAAGTGTAATTATTAATTTATGTATCCCTTGAAAATATGCTCGCCATGATCATCTCACTACTGGGTGAAGGTCTTTGCAATCCGTAGTCACGACCATGCGAAGTTTTAATCCACTTCGCACCTGCACACGAGCTGCTGTCATTACTCCATCTCCATGGTGGACGTACTTCAGGGCGCGTTCCCTCCCTTGGCTGCCACCTCGCTATTGTTATCGACCATGGTCAATGTGCATTGGCCATCGTGGATTATTCCATCATCCCTTCTCGTTCCGTAGCCTGGCCAAGCCTGCTTACTTGTATCTGTTTGATGTAACTTGCTAAAGTGTATTCTCTGATCCACGTGTTACTCTGTCTCTCAATGTCATTCCAAGAATGTAACTCTGAGTGCTTCTGTGCGCACTTCTTATTTGTGCTTCTGAACCATTTGCCATCGGAGGTGGTTCACACGGATAAACATGTCTAGTTGTAGGCACATTGGAATGTTACGTTTCATTGTGAAGTTCAGATTTACAAAGGTACTCCAACCTGCTCTAGTGTGTATTGTTTTATTGGCATTGTTTTAGTCTAATTTTAGGTGATGCTAAAACCTTGAATGCGGAAGCAATGTTTTAGCAAATAACACCTTGTTACAACTTAAATTATACAATGAATATCCTCAAGAATTTCGATGTAAACTGTATTATTGCAGGTAATTAAATTATTCATAATAAAAAAAATATTACATGCACTCATATCGTGAACTAAACACCAAATTCCTGTACAACAAGTGTAATAATCAAATTTAATAATTGTTGGAGGGACACAACTTGAAAATATCCTACTTAGGGCTATTATAGAGATCAGATCGTGATCCAAATGGTAACATGTACAGGTGACGTCTATCATTTGGAGCGCGTTTGAACAATATTTGGACCCTTAATTCTCAGCGTTCCATTTTTCCCTGAGATCAAATGTCAATCCGTAGATACTGCTCGCCATGACCTATGGATCAGAAATATAAAAATAAAAAGTGACAAAAAATATTGACTTTTACCCCATCATAAAAAGTCACCGCGAATGAAAGACGAATATTGGTTAAATACTTCTGTTTGTAAAAGGAATGTCGAGCCCCCCCCCCTTTGATTTATCTTCCCCCCACCCCTGTCCATTCCCCAGAGGGGTATCCGTGTTATGGAAGTCGACACCAGGGATCCAGGGATATAGAGTGTATTGAAACACATGGCATAGACACGTTCAAAATATAAAAGTTGGTAACAATCATTGTACTTCGCATTGTGGTTTATTAGTAATACATCGGCATTGTGCGACCCCCACTGCCACTGTGTAGCATATTATTACATGTCTGAGTCCATAATTGGCAATAAGTAACGGCAAAGCAGTTATAAGTGACACAGAATTGTGCGCAGTTTCGTGTATACAGTACACGACTTCCCTGAAGGCATTCACCATCAGCGAGCGCGATGCTGATCACACACGGTTCGAATTCGACTTCCAGGCCATGCGCCATCGCCGCACACGCGTCGAATAAAAAGCAAGGGACAAAAGTCCTTAGTTACTAACAAACTCCTATCATTTTTCATTGCTGGAGGAGTTGCCCTCCTACCTGAAAATCCTGGCTCCGCCTCTGCGTCTATCCACTGCTCGATAAAGTGACCATATTTCACCACGCTGATGGGAGGGGGGAGCGGGGAGAGTGGGACCCCACACCAATATTAAACAACTAAGAGTGGACTAATTTTATCGCGTTAGTTGAATAGACTAAGAACATTATTCAATGAAATACTGTACACAGGACTGGAAATGAACTTCAAATGCACAAACTCTAGACATTCGTCAAAGCGCACTTGCATTGAAGGGAAAATAAATCTATTAAATGTTGCGGGCACGTACATTTACGAGACGTGAAGAAGGGGAGCGTGTGTGTGTGTGAATTTTTTTGTTATCTGTGCTTGTCTACCACTGCTTGCCAACGCGGATCAACAAGCAATTTGTAAAGTTACACAAGGCGTCGTCGAGTCGACTTAGGCTGTGACTTCAGGAACACATTCAGACCCAATGAATACAGCACCTGACCTGGCTGGTGAGTCTACGGGAGCTTTTCCTGGGTGATAATACATTTAGGGAGTTGCCCGCAGGCGCAGGGAAGTTGCCGACACTGACTCATGTCGGCCTGGACCTAAACCAGTTGAAGAGATTGGTTTGTTTGCTCTTTCATCGCGTGCTGTAGACACGAGGCTCGATCCGAACTCGGGCAAAGCGCTCAGCGCTGGCGGCGCTCAATGCCCCGCGTCAGTTGTCAATCTCTCCAGCGAGGAGTAACAGAATAAGGTGCAGCGATGCAATTGCATGGCTCAGCCTGAAATAAGTACCTGGTGTGGTGTGTAAACATCGCCACTCGGGATACAAATGCGGGCGAGCGTCGTGCTATCTGACCACCCCCTCGTCTACCGTGCTGGTCTTCATAGGTGCTCGCTCACATCACTTGCCCCAAAAGGTTGATGAGGCTATGTGGGGGATCTTTGTTTTGATGTAATTATTCGTAACAAATCACTATCGCAGTGGCAATGGCAGGAGCCCCAGTGTCTCGTGTCTCCACCAGTGCCGTCAGACTGTCAAACACGCCGGGCTCGAGCTTCGTGATCTGATTTGTGTACAAACGCAGCTCTCGCGTGGTGGTTGGGATTCCCGCAGGCACAGACGCGAGGCTTTTGCCCTGGCAGTACACGGCTGTCCCTGAGCACGAACACTGCGAGGGACAGGCAACTGTTTAGAGGCGGCTCACAACGGCCTCCCCTTGCACGCCAGCGGCGTCGTGTGTGGTCCAACATTTATACGAGCTGCCTCTTACTGAAGATGTCCCTGCAAAACCTTCTTCACAAAACATTTGTAGTGCTTAGTACATTTAGAAATCACTTGTATAAATGTATTGTTTCGGAGTTGTGTTGTTATATCTATTTGCTTCTTTATTTTGATTACTGTAATTGGTTTGGGTCATAATTGTAATAATAATTTATGTATCCCTGAGAAATATGCTCGCCATGATCATCTCATTACTGGGTGAAGGTCTCTGCAAGCCGTAGTCACGACCATGCAATGTTTTAATTTACTTCGCACCTGCACACGAGCTGCTGTCATTACTCCATCTCCATGGTGGACGTCCTTCAGGGCGCGTTCCCTACCTTGCCAGCCACCCCGCTATTGTTATCGACCATGGTCAATGTGCAGTGGCCATCGTGGATTATTCCATAATCCCTTCTCGTTCCGTAGCCTGGCCAAGCCTGCTTACTTTTATCTGTTTGATGTAACTTGCTAAAGTGTAAATTTCGATTTAAAGCTTTCGTGACTGCAGGGATTCATCTTCTTGGTTCTTTCGGTAAAGTCACGTAGAAGGGAAGTAATAAAATAATAAAAAAATAAAACATAATAAAATAATTCTCACGACGTTTCGGCCACAACGCAAGTAGCCTTTCAAACCATCACCTTACCCTACATTGCTGGGGTCACAAAAAAGATCTCCAAAATCCTGATTAAACACAAGATCCAGGTCCGATTCAACACAATACATAAAATCCGTGATCTGGTCCCGTCTGTAAAATATGTGGTTCCAGACATACAGTACCCTGGCGTCTACAAACTAAGTTGCCTCTGTGGTAGCAGTTACATTGGAGAAACCAAACGACATGTCTCGGGCTGCATCCGTGAACATAAAGCAGACTTGAAACACGGTAGGACAAACACCTCAGCCGTGGCAGATCACTGTTACAATTCAGTGGGCTCACATGATATTGACTTCTCCAAGACAGAGGTTCTCTGCAAGCCATCTGGCTATCATGAGAGATTCGTTCATGAGGCGATCCACATATACAAACACAGAGACAATTTCAACCAAGAAGATGGATTCCGGCTTAGCAATCATTGGAAGGACGTAATAAACCATTTCGGATCTTAACTGATTGTGTTCACGTTTACGGTGACTTTCAGACCGCGTTCCACTCACCGGCATTGTATTCTGCGCAGGGTATGGATTCTTTGCTCCGCTGCAAGTTTTCCTCGCACTACTCTCCCATTGACATATTTCGTTGCTTCCTCTTAGTATCTTTCACACGACGGTCAATGGTACAGTGTATAATAACAAATAGTATAACATTTATATGCTTAATACAATGTACAAAGTAATATATAGTATCGTAATTGTATAGTGAATATACAGCAGTGTGATACACATTAGGGTGGGTAGAATAATACATAGTGTAATATTACAATGTATAAGGTGGTTTATAGCAATACAGTATATCATTTAATGTTGGGTTTGTCTATGGCAGTATGTAGTACGGTGTAGACTCGTGTGATGTAAGATAATAAAGTTTAGATGGAAGCATATTATATTTTTTACGACATAGAATTGTAATGTATTACTTACTGTTAGTAACTCAGCTTATTGTAGAGTATATTTAATATACTGATGATACTATGTAGTTTATACTTTAGTTGTTTACGTGGTGGTTTTGGTTACCGCAGCTACATACTATTAACACTCCTTCCCTTTATTAATGCTACCCCTATCACGTCCTTTTGATGCTGCTAATCCTGCATAATGCACGGGCATAAGTAGCACTAATCACATAACCTCCCATTGATGCTGCTAATCCTGCATAATGCACGGTCATAAGTAGTACTAATCACATACCTGCATTTCCCATAAATATGCTATATTCCTCTTGATATGCATATTCTTTTGTTAAGGCTCCCCCTTTCTTCCCCCCTTCCAACCCAGCTTATATACATGCTCCAAGCACGTGTGCTGTTTCATTCAGACGCTGTCGCCTCGACAGACCTGGTTTTCACCTGAGGACGGCTACTTGCGTTGTGGCCGAAACGTCGTGAGAATTATTTTATTATGTTTTATTTTATTACTTCCCTTCTACGTGACTTTGCTAAAGTGTTTTCTCTGATCCACGTGTTACTCTGTCTCTTAATGTCATTCCAAGCATGTAACTCGGAGTGCTTTTGTGCGCACTTCTTATTTGTGCTTCTGAACCATCTGCTATCGGAGGTGGTTCACACGGATCAAAATGTCTAGTTGTAGGCACATTGGAATGTTACGTTTCATTGTGAAGTTCAGGTTTGCAAAGGCACTCCAACCTGCTCTCGTTTGTATTGTTTTATTTGCATTTTTTTAGTCTCATTTCAGGTGGTGCTAAAACCTTGAATACGGAAACAATAAATTTCGATGTAAAGCTTTCGTGACTGCAGGGATTCATCTTCTTGGTTCTTTCGGTAAAGTCACGTAAAAGGAAAATAATAAAATAATGAAAATAAAACATAATAAAATAATTCTCACGACGTTTCGGCCACAACGCAGGACGGCTGCTTGCGTTGTGGCCGAAACGTCGTGAGAATTATTTTATTATGTTTTATTTTTATTATTTCCCTTCTACGTGACTTTACGGAAACAATATTTTAGCAAATAACACCTTGTTACAACTTTAATTATACAATGAATATCCTCAAGAATTTCGATGTAAACTGTATAATTGCAGGTAATTAAATTATTCATAATAAAAAAAATAATCTTATATGCACTCATATCGTGAACTAAACACCAAATTCCTGTACAACAAGTGTAATAATCAAAATTAATAATTATTGGAGGGACACAACTTGAAAATATCCTACTTAGGGCTATTATAGAGATCAGATCGTGATCCAAATGGTAACATGTACAGGTGACGTCTTTCATTTTGGAGTGCGTTTGAACAATATTTGGACCCTTAATTCTCAGCGTTCCATTTTTCCCTGAGTTCAAATGTCAATCCGTAGATACTGCTCGCCATGACCTATGGATCAGAAATATAAAGTGCCAAAAAAGATTGACTTTTACCCGATCATAAAAAGTCACCGTGAATGAAACATGAATATTGGTTAAATACTTTTGTTTGTAAAAGGGCTGTCGAGCCCCCCCCCCCCCCCCTTTGATTTCTCTTCCCCCCACCCCTGTCCATTCCCCAGAGGCGTATCCGAGTTATGGAAGTAGACACCAAGGATCCAGGGATATAGAGTGTATTGAAACACATGGCATAGACACGTTCAAAATATAAAAGTTGGTAACAATCATTGTACTTCGCATTGTGTTTCTGCTGGTGTCAATTCCCATACATGCCCTCTGTGTGTACCTTAATTGTTTGGTCGATAAAATATTTTTGGTTAAAAAGGCTTTCGACAGTATGCACGGGGAATGTATTCTCAACACCTACGGTTTACCAGACAAGATAACAGACGTCATGAAGAGCTTTTTGCGATGGCAGTCAATCTCCAGTGCAATATGAAAGATACAAAAGTGAAATGGTTCCACATTGTTTGACAAAGATATGCTTAATTAATTAAAGTGCGGAGTGCAGTAACTTCATAGGCGTAATGTAGGTACAACAGCGATGATGTTCAAGGCCTTCAGTTGATTGAGTCAGATAAGTGAGCTGGGTCAATTTGTCAAACACTCCACCGGGAAGAGCCGATAGCCGATTGCTCTCCAGATGTAGCTGCTGCAGATTCACCAGGCTGTCAAACAGCCCAGCAGGGAGAGACGTGAGTTCCTCAATGCGCAAGGACCTTAGACACTCGCTCTACGCTGTTTTACGAAGACTCTAGCAGAGTGAATGTAAATACGACTCCACGGAGCACTAGCTACACGTGACTCACACATCAAGCTTGTTAAACGCATTAGGAAATTAATCATTCAAAGCTCTTTGTCTATCCACTGCTGGATGAATTGATGACATGTCACCAGGCTGGTTGTAACCACTGAGAGTCGATGCATTGTCTAACTTTAATTGAATAGACTAAGAGACAAATTAAATTAAATAAACAGCTAGGACTTGACAATACGTCCACAAACAACTCTACACAGTCGTCAATAGCGCTGTCTTAAAGGGAAACAAATATATTATAGGTGAAGTTGTGGTTACATTGAACATGATTTCCCTTAAACCACCCAAGTAAGAGGCAGCGTACCCACCACTCTCTCACATTTACAATAAAAACAACGACTTTCTAGAAATGGTCGTAATTAAATAACCGTGTAAAACACATTACCATTCGTCATCGCGAGAAGGCAGAGGAAAGGGGACTGAGAGAGAGGAAACTGAGAGCTCCGCGCAGCCGAGCCTGGCACAAGCACCCCATCGGTTGTAGAGGTGTTTTACCAATCTTCAACTCTGTTGAAGTGGTGATGATCATCACTCGCTTTTGATGTTCTCCGTTGCTGATGATCAAACCCAGGTCACCATGTTCATAGCGCAGTGCGCTAAACACTCGTACCACAACTCCTCACTTTCTATCTCACATTAGCAACAAAAAAAACGTCTACATATGTTCATAATGAAACGACTGTGTTAGGCTACTTCATCATTCATCATCACGAGGAAGCTGCTGAGCGAGGCGAGGAGGCTGAGAGCTCCGCGCAGCTCACAGTCCCAGGGGTTGTTCAACAGCCAGATGTGAGTGAGGCTCTTGAGGTTGTCAAAGGCGCCCTTGGGAATGCTCTTCAGCTGCCCCGCGTTGATCCGCGATTGCTTTGCACTGCGTTCTAACACGTTCCTTCGGAGTGGGCGACTAAGTGGGCAGGTAGGAACTTGGTTGGACAGCGCATTCGTGCACGACAGAAAGCTCGCGGTCACGTGACGCACTTTAACCGATCCGGGAGCGTACTACACGTTTGGGAGGGGCTATGCACGACAGACAAATAATCCCTGGTGGGCAGTGTGGAACCTGTTGTTCCTACCTGTATTAACACTGCAATGCAAGTCACTGAGCAGAGAGTGAAATCAAACAGGTGAGGAGTATACACGATGGGCATTGGTGCGGCTTGAGATTTATCAAATCAGTGATGGTCGATAGTAGTGATGATGCAGATAATGATTGTTACGTAATCTTTCTCGTTTAATACACATTCTCTCACCCTCTCACACATGCATTGCCTTCCTAGTGCCAATACTTAAACACCATATCAGGTGCAGTGCTCAGTTAAGGCTGAGTCGACCGAGGGGACGCCCATGTCGGGTTCAGATAGTCGAGGATACTAGACACGTCCCAGAATACAACTTGAATGTACTATATCCCGGCATAGGAATGTAGAAATTCTCACAGCTGTACGCAGGGGTGTTTGGGAGTATAGCGCATCTGCTCGACCTGAGTTGGTGTGATAACCAGTTAAATACTATACCCCATGGCGGATTCGATCTCCTGGTTCGACTAAAGGAACTAAAGTTGTATACCGACCAGTTGACGGCTCTGCCCACTGGTGTCCATCTCAAACTGAACCAAATAACGCGAGTGGAGCTGCACAATCACAGCTGGAGACCGTTCCAGAGGTCCAGGTTTTACCCACAAGCACTGCAGTCCATGTGCACGATGCATGGTCATAGGGGGCTCTCACGTCATTGTTTAGCCAAGGTGAAGTGGTGACTTTACACACTTGGGTCAGGTTGTGAATCATTGATCCATTCGTCAGTGAACCTTCATCTAAGCCCGTGAGTGTTCTCACACACAAACTCTTTAATAATCGCACTCTTAGTGCAGGAGTCTCAGGAACTTGCCATAAGCTCAGCAGTTCAGTTCCGGCCCGTGCCATCGGCTCCCCGTGTTCTCTCCAGTGCGGCCAACTGCCGCACGTGAAACATCGCCAAACGAATCACTAAGAATGGCGAAGTGTGGAAACATATTCAGTCTGATGTCATTGTGAAGTCACTAGAGTTAAGAAGACTTAAACGTAGCAAACCGATACCCCACCTATGTGGGGAAATGCAAGCATATATGCTTGCATTTCCCCACATAGGTGGGGTATAGTGATGCACGTGTAGATTTTAATGTTTTTAGATGTGTAATAAAGCAGTCAAAATGCAAACAAATGGTATGCCCTGTCCTTGAAATTGATTGGTCCACACCCGAGATGGCTTTTCTTAGAGCCTAGTCTCCACTGGTGTTGGACCAGATGACACCAAAAGGCGCACAACTCAAAAACAGCGCACAGCACGTCAGTTTTGGTGCCAGATAAAAGGGTAAAAATCTTTTACTATATCTTGCTACTGGCAAAGGAGGTTTCAATGTAAATTATTACCATGAGCTCTCAATACTATGATAGTGCGCTGTTTTTGAGTTGTACGCCTTTTGGCGTCATCTGGTCCAACACCAGTGGAGACTACGCTCTAAGAAAAGCCGTCTCGGGTGCGAACTAATCAATTTCAAGGACAGTGCATATCATTATCAGAGTTGTCTCTTTTTGTTTGCATTTTGACTGCTTGTGTTGTAGTTATTGCAAACATGATCCCTTGTATAAAGGTGTCAGTTTTGGTGCCAGATAAAAGGGTTAAAACCTATTTCTATATCTTGCTACTGGCAAAGGAGGTCTCATAATGTGTAATAAAGCACTTCCACGACGACGGTAGACTTGTGTCTTTTATTAACGATTACTGCACAGCTCCGCTCTCTCTCTTCCCGGATGGTTCCATTCTCTCTCCTCTTGCCATGAAGCACTCGATCCCTCGTCCACCGTTGCAGCGTGTCTCTGTCTCTCTTCTCGCGCTCGCTGCTGGTTGGCGGCGCGCAGGGAGGAGAGAGGGCTCCGCTGGCCGAGGTCGCCACGTGGCCGGTGGCGAGACAAGGTAGGCGATGATGCAGTCCGGATTCAGGCTTCCCACACCGACCCCGAGTCCTCTTACTGCCTCTCCTTGTATTGCTTTCGGCGGAGCTAGGCTCCGCCTCTAGGCACGCCCCTTCGTAGAACCTTCTCGATGCTTCTCGTACATATCCACGAGCTCCGCCGATTACCTTTGGCCCAGATTTAACCCTTCCCTCTGATTGGATATGAATAACCCAGCAGTGACTATGCAGCCCTGTGTCGTCCCTTAGGTGGCGCTCTCTCATTACAGATGTAATACTTCGTCATCCATACTAAATGTAATGTTAAGGACGAAACTGATTTGCTTTGTTACCCTGAGTATCAACTCACTAAAAGTCATTGCTGTTCAGCAATTTCTCGCGACATGTAATGAACGTTTATGTTCCATCGTTTGATTCCATTTGTACCAAGTTGATATTTGCTTTGGAACCAGCGTTGGCTCTACCCGTTGGGATGCTTCAGAATTGCCAATTAATCCTTAATATCATGACCTGGCATTGATATTACAATTTGAATAAACAATTTATATTATGCATTGTCTTAATTTATTCATAACGGCTCGCATATATAGGTAAGAAAACAAATGCTCGCAGAATATGACACTAACTGTCTGGCTGTAGTGACCTATAATCCAAGCATATGCTGGTGAATTTTCACATCTTGTATTTGTCTGGGAATCGGCTGATAGTTGTTCCCGAGGTGGTGTTTGACCACCTGGTCAAACTGCAGGAGCTGTATTTGAATACAAACCAACTGTCGGCTCTACCCACCGGAGTGTTTGACAAACTGACTCAGCTAACTATTCTGAGTTTGCGTGAAAACAAACTGACGGCTCTGCCCGCCGGAGTGTTTGACAAACTGACCCAGCTCACTGAACTGAGTCTGCGGGACAACCAGCTGAAGAGCATTCCCAGAGGAAGTTTTCTGGGCGGGTGCCTCTCTAGATCTGGATGCACAATGCCAATCTGAAACCTGTTCTTCTCGACTGCGTGACGCATGGATGTGTCGAGGCTGTGTGTGGGAGTAACCACCTTGCACAGACCACGGCCACGTGCAGTGAAGTCGTTAACGATCGGCTACTGCACGAAACTTTCAGTCATCAGCAGGTGCGCCCCGCTCTGATACTTTGTCGATTCCAGTTCAGGTGACTGGTTGGTGGTTGGTTATTATTGGTTGCAGTTCTTCTTCAATTACATAGTTTGCCGTACAGCTTCGTTAAATATTTACTCAGATCAATTGCTCGAGTTGGCCATTGTGTGCCGACGACGGTGCCGAAACATTGCAAGAAGAGTAATGGCGAACCTAGAACCCTGGGTACCAATGTCAGTGTAACGACCACCAAATTTGGAATCACAACAGAGCTACTAACCGCTGCCTAGATTAGTAAAGTTTAATTCAAGAATTTAGAGGATTCTGGAATGTTGAACGATTCCTTAAGGAGTATTATATTTTAAATATAATTATTATTAATCATCATCAACATCGCGAACGTAACCTTCTCTTCCCAGTACTGAACGAGTGAGGGCATTTGGTGTTGCCAATCGAGGCGACGTTTCCCGAGTTCGGCCCGAGCCACTCACCGACTGAGACGCAGGCTGTGTGAACAGGCGCAGTCCCATGGGTTGTTGTACAGATAGATTCAAATTTCAAGTTTTATTTATTAGGTATAGCCCTGTGAGCCATTCGGCTCTTGAATCGGGTGCAACCGCAACAAACAAAAAAACAAAAACATGAACAAGAAACATCTTAAAGTGACTATGTGCAAGCAGAAAATCCAAGAAAAGACAGCAAAATATTGCAGAAAAAGCACCGTACACCAACACTGTGTGCAAAAATCCCAGTGGGATGCAAGTCAAACAACAACAACCACAAGACAACTTAGTATAAGGCCATCAGTCTAACTCTGTGCTACAACAAACAAACATGACTAAACCGAAACACTTTTCAAAAATCACCAAAATAAAGCCATAAAAGCAATGAAACAGTGATCATAGGAACTGTGACCGAATTTTCACAATAAACGACGAAAACAACATGTATTACCAAACTCTGCAGCCATAGCTGGCTGCATGAATCACTCCACAACAGCAGGAGCATCAGTCGGAGTTTCAACATTTTTCAATGCACCTTTAAGATCAGCACACTAAATCAAAACACAGATCATACTTTGCAGCAATCATCCGGAGCGAAACATTTTATTTTAGGCCACTAAATTGCAGTGGCAGATGGCTGAGGTTGACTTGCGCCAATCACAGAGGCCGCGCGACAGCGACTGATGATGAGCCCTATGTATGCGTCACAGGCACATATATCACACATATATTATTTCATATTTTATTCTTGCGTTTGAAACTTCCATTTAAAACACGACACCGTTCATCACTCGCGCACCGTAACAGTCCGAGTGTATGATGCTTCGGATCTTCCATGTCGTGTTAACAATGAATATACATTGTCACCGTTACTCCAGAGAGGTCTATACATATCATGTGTCTACGATGGTTGATTTAATTAGATACTTTATAATGGATATGATATGCTAACGTTTCGTGCAATTGCCCTACTTCAGACCAGAAAGAGAGGGCAGTTTTTCTGATGTGTGGTTGAAGCCCGCGTCCGACAATGAGGTGTCTTGAAACCCGTCGAGAATCTGGAGTTGCCGCATGAACCCAGTCTCCCATTGGGTAGCAAACACACTCCCCCGAACAGTGTGGACAGAGAAACATTTGATGCCCGATAGGGACTAAATACATTTACAAAAATATTGAGTGATACACACTCATCTGAGTCTGAAAATCCCAGGGACACGTTTTACAGACACAGCTGCCTCTACTCGCATCAGCAGTTTAAGCATGTTCTGCTCCACCAACGTTTTTAGGTTAGAGCGGCCGTATGCAGGGTTAGCGGTCGCCAGAATGGGGCAGCGCGCATTGACACTCATCATGATGCTGGCCTGGATAACGGAGGCGCAGCGGAGAGACAGAGAGAAGATTTAGGAAAAACGGTGTATATGCGTGGATTGTTTCGCTTTCCAACATGTGTTTGTCTTCCGTGTCTGTAAATACCCTTTGTTCCTCTATATCACAGCTCCCCCATACCCCACAAGTTGAAGAACCTTCGTCTGAGCTAAAGATCAACATCGACATTTGATCATAGCGATTGCCAGCCAAACGCAATGGTCGATTCGACTCGCGTCCCCACCGCTACCGTTCAGCCTCTGCCACCGGCGCAGAACACTGGCTGGTCAAAGCGCGGCAGGAGAGCGCCCCCGGTCGCCTTGACGACATGACCTCGTGGATGGAGGTGCGATCCCTGTCGGCCATCTTGTCGTCCTGCGCCTGTTCACTTGGCCTGTGTCTCAGCCGGTGGCTCGAGCCGAACTCAAGCTAAGTGCTCAGCGCTGGTGGTGCTCAAAGCCGCGGGTGTGTTGTCAATCTCTTCATGAAGATGTCAAAGAATAAGGTGCAGCCCTGGAAATGCCTGGCTCACGTCACTGATAAATGAAGGGCCTCCACTGGAGGGAGCTCTAGAGAGCTCCTCTGCAGGCTACGTGGCCTCCTGCTTTTCACTGACCAGAAGTTCTGGAAGTGGTTTATACACTCATGATTTACTCCACGTCACGCGACCTGCCGATCAACGGACTGTGCCATACGATTGATAATGCCGGTTGACATGGACGAAAGGATTTAAGAAACTAACCAATTATTTCGACTGCCATGCCGGAAGATCATGCCAGCCCAGTGTGCTAACTATTTCACCAAAGCAAACACATTCTATGGACTCATGGTCATAAAAGAAATTACCATAATATACACTTAAGCATCAACAGCTACACACTCTTCATTATCACCCGTCGTAATCAGCACTGCGCTCTTATTCATCCACTGCTCTCATTCTGCACTCGTCCAATGTATGTGTAGTGGCGGTACGCGCTGACAAGGAGGGGGCGTGTGTGTGTACGCGCGCCGGGCGTGGCTACATCGA